GGAATTAACTTCTCAATACAGCAGTTCCCTATTGACTGCATGTATTTTATGATGCTTATTTCCCCATGGCCCTTCCCATGGCCCTGCCATTTGGATCTTTATTGTGAAGATGAACTTAAGAGTAGTTTCTCTAAACATTTAAAATGTTCTAGATTCTGGTCTCATAGACTATAATATCCTTGAAATATGCAGATATTTGTTATCATCTTACTATTTGTGTCTGTGCCAATTTTATAAGATGCTTTAAGTTTGCATTGTCCATTTTGTGTACTGAGTTTGCACAAATATTTTGCATTCACATATCTCTGATTTTATCTTTAACCATCAGTTTTCTGTTGTTGAAGTAGAATACAATAGATTGGTTATGGGATTTCAATTATAAGAAAGACTCTCAAATTCCTGCTCTGTCACTCACTAGCTCTATGTTTGGGAGAAAATATAGAATATATTCAACTCATAAATTGTTCCTTACATGTACTGTGTCATCATCTCTTACAAATATTTCTGTGTTTTTCATCTACCATCTTACATATTATGTCCACCCATGGACTAATCTGGAAGTGTTTTATTTATACGTTTTCCCTTTTACCAGGTTGGCCAGTCTATAGGCAAATACCTTCTTGAAGAGACCACAGTTCCTATATTTTCAAAGGAATTGCGGAAAGAAATCTATCCACCATACCTATTTTTAGTAAAGGGTAGTTTTTTCTCAATAATCTAAGATTTTGTCTGTTTTATTTATCTTGTACACCTGGCATAACACAAATTTACCTCTCTTTTTAAATTATAAACATTGAAACCAAAGTGCTAAGAAGGAGCTATAGCATACACAAGAAAAAGAGCACAATTTAGTGCTCACCTCACTGACTAAAGGACACATGGGTAATATTCTTACCACAATTCCATGTGATTTCTGCAAAAACCAAATTTATTATGATATGTAAACATGTAAAACCTGCAATTTCATCATTTCATTGCCCTAACATGGGCTTTTATGCCAGATGAAGAACTTTGACGACAACTGATGAAAAACTTCTGGTCTGTAAAGGCAGTGAAAAGAGGAAATATTCCCAATGAGATGGGAATGTGGAGGACGTGAAGCTACAGAATGATGTCTAGAGACTTCCGCCAAGATGGAGGCATAGGTGGAGACGCTGTGCTTTCTCACACAACCAAGTTTAGAGACAACAAAATATTAGCAGCAGAAAACACAGCCAGAACACAGAAAATTGAACTTTTCGGAAGTCCTATAACAACGAATTCTTCAGCCTGACCGGTAAGAGGAGCAAAACCAGCAGCTGGTGGAGCAGGGTTGCATAGGAAAACTCAATCAGACGACTCAGGAGCACAAATCCCAGGCATGGGGTTGCAAAGGGCTGACCCAGTGAACAACCTAGTGAGTGCAACCCAGTGAGCCACCAGCGGAGCCAGCAAGGGTGAAGGGCACGGCAGGTTGACTGTGCTGGCGCATTCCTGCACAGATAGACCGGTGAGGGAGTGGGCAGTGAGACGGGACTGAGCAGGTCCCAGCAACAGGAGGCAGCAGAGAGGGCCACCATTTCCCGGCTCTGACCCCACCCCCACATACAGCGTCACAACCCAGTAACCTGAGCGACCCTACCCTGGTGAACACTTAAGGCTTTGCTGCTCATCCAGCGGCAGGAAGCAGGAGAGGGGGACGCCATTTCCCCACTCTGACCCTGCCACCACATACAGCATCACAACCAAGCGACCCCGCCCTGGAGACCCCACCCCGCCCCTAAGGCTCTGCTCCTCATATTTAATGGGCAGGAACAGACCAAAAATGGGTCAAGAAGATCTCAAAGCCCCAGAGCCCATAAATCTAAGTGACAAAGAAATAGCAAAACTTTCAGATACATAGTTCAAAACACTGGTGATCAGGATGCTCACAGAACTGGTTGATTTTAGTCACAAATTAGAGGAACATATGAAGGCTAAACTAATTGAAGTGAATGGAAATGCACAGGAAACCAATAGTAATGAAAAGTAAACTGGGACTCAAATCAAGGAAGTGAACCAAAAGGAAGGAAAAAATGACCAAACAGGAAAATATGAAGAAACAAGAATTCAAAAAAAAATGAGGAGAGGCTTAGGAACCTCCAGGACATCTTTAAATGCTCCAACATCCAAATTATAGGGGTACCAGAAGGGGAAAGGAACAGCCACCAGTGGAAAACTTATTTGAACAAATAATAAAGGAGAATTTCCCCAATATGGTGAAGGAAAGACTTCCAGGAAATCCAGGAAGCTCAGAGAGTCCCAAAGAACTTGGACCCAAGAAGAAACACACCAAGGCACATCATAATTACATTAGCCAAGATTAAAATGAAGGAGAGAATCCTAGAAGCAGCAAGAGATAAGGGGACAGTCACCTACAAAGGAGTTCCCATCAGACTGTCAGCTGATTTCTCAAAAGAGACCTTACAAGGCAAGAAGGGGCTGGAAAGAGGTATTCTAAGTCATGAAATCCAAAGACCTACAACCAAGATTGCTCTATCCAGCAAAACTTTCATTTAGAATGGAAGGACAAATAAAATGCTTCTCAGATAAGACCAAATTCAAGGAGTTCATCATCACCAAGCCCTTATTATATGAAATGTTAAAGGGACTTATCTAAGAAAAAGAAGATAAAAAATATGAACAGTGAAAGGACAGCAAACTCACAGTTATTAACAACCGCATCTAAAACAAAAGCAAGCTAAAAGGACAGCTAGATCAGGAGCAGAACCATAGAAATGAAGATCTCATGGAGGGTTAGCAACAGGGGAGTGGAAGAAGGAGAAGAGGAGAGAAGGTACAGAAAATAAGTAGCATAGACGGTAGGTAGAAAATAGATAGGGGGAGGGCAAAAATAGTATGCGAAATATAGAATCCAAAGAACTTGAGACACATGGTCATAAACTAAAGTAGGGGAATAGTAGGAGTGGGGGGTGCAGGGTGGAGGGGAATGAAGGGGGGAATAGAACAATGAAATGGCATAACCAATAAAATAAAATTTTAAAAAAAAGAATGATGTCTATTTGCAAATGCTGAAAGGCCTGATTGATTAATAGCATCTATTCCTGGATGGAGCAAGATTAGAATACAAACACATTTGGAGGAGAGTCATGTGGATATGGATGGCCTATGGGCAGAAAGTATTTCCCATTGCGTCACACCTCAGTGCCCCCAAAGAGTACCCACCACTTAGGACACTGCACAACTATGTGTTTGAGATAACCCAACCTGTCCCCCTCCTCAGGTGCACAAATACATACAAAAGGAGCATAAACAAAGCCACCATGTGGCAGGACAGAGTCTCCTGGATCAACAGCAAGGGCTCCCTTTCCCCATGGCTTCCTCTGTTGTATGTGCTGTTGTCCTAAGTACTGGTGCTGATTTGGGTCTTATGTTGTCATAAGGATGGTGCTGAACCCTTGTCTGCAATGTCCATCATGAAAACAAACACCAGCACAGAGCCAGTGTTCTACACTGCACCACTTTTGTAAAGAAGGCAGTTCTTCCATATTATGATTACATGTTTGGAGACTGGAAATCGCCTTCTCTGTCTGCAAGGCTATCCACCAGGTTACAGTATTACTGTCCTAGGATCCTGGATAGCACCGTTTTGGACCAGAGGAACACACTCCATGATAAACAAGGTAAACAATAGGCACATAACCATGGATCTACCATACATCACACAACAGAGAAATTGCTGGCCTGGTAAAAATTGGAATGGGGTTTTAGATGTACAGCAAAGATGCCAATGTAGAGGTAACAACTTGCAGAATTCTCACTGTGATATATATTTTGATCCAATGACCATTATTTGCTTTACATATATGTAGTACTATAGTTATATATCCATAAAAGTCAGTATGTGGATTCAGAAATAATGGGTGAAAGTAGAGATGACCATTTCACTTTAACCCCCTACAACATACTTGGGATTCTGGGCTTCCTATCCCATCATCCCTTTAGGCTCTCCTGGGTTAGTAGTTCTACTCCTATGAAAGGGGCTTTCTTTGTCAGGGGACATAATCTAATTTTATAGCTGTGATCTGATCAGTTTGGACTCCTCAGATCAGTGGAGGAGCAAGCAGAGAAAGCAGTTACTGTTTGGTGAGGGGTAGTTACCATGAAGAGGTAGAGAGCAGGGAAAAGTGCATCTGGAGTGTGGAAATTTACTGGAGTGTCTCATGGTGTGTTCGTGCCCAGTGACAACTTTGACTGAGTGATGACAGCACCACAGCTTGCCATGGATGCAGTCACCCGAGGCTCAGACTTCTACATTTTGACATGAAAATTTAAGTGATTTGAGCCAGGAACCAAAGACCCAGTCCTGGGTCTGAGTCTGTGCATTATTAGTTTGTGACATTACACAATGATTTTTTTTTCTGAAATTGTAGATAAGGGGGCTATTGTGATGCTCAGAATGAATGATGCATGTATTATGCAATATGTATCTAAAGCCCTGTATCAGGAATGCTGCACAATAAAGCAAGCACAACATGAATGAGTTATGACATAGACTTTATTGAGAAACACATAGAGAAGAGATCTGCATCAAGTCAGACAATTCAAAGTGATGCTGAAAGAAGAAAGCCTTATACAAGAATCATGAGTACATCGTAAGGAATAATGATTATGAAGCTTATTATTCAGTTATAAAAACCTAGTAATTACGTTATGAAGATTGTTTGACTAAGTTGCTTAAGGGGGAGCCACTGCTCCTGACTTCAGAGTCAAAGCCAAGACCATCCCAGCATATTGAGGATGCACAAAGCTGGGACAAGATCCACACACACGGTAGGAAGAGAACTGAGGGAAGTTCTAATCACTCCATCAAGCTGTTTCTTTAAACAGACAGATGAGTCACAGAAATTGTGGTCCCACATGCTGGTTGTCATCAAAGTCTGGAAGGTTAACTTGTTTCCACAATGGCAAGTCAGGTAACAGAAGGTGTTTACACAGATGGTGGTTCTCCAACAAGGTGATCAGCAGCAGCAGGGCTGGCCACAGCCAGATCCACAGTCATAGGCTATGCACCCAGGCACACAGCAGCAGGTGGGGTAGTAGCAGGTTCTGTGGACGTACACAGGACAACAGGAAACTGGCTGGCAGCAGCTGGACCCACAGCAGCTGGACCCACAGCAGCTGGGCTGGCAGCAAGGGGTGCTACAGCAGCAGGGCTGGCAGCAGCTGGACACACAGCAAGGACGGCAGCAGGGCTGGCAGCAGGTGGTCCTGCAGCAGGTGGTCTGACAGCAGGTTGGGCGGCAGCAAGGCTGGCAGCAGCAACCGGACCCGCCACAGCTGGACCCACAGCAGGTGGGCTGGCAGCAAGGGGAGCAGCACATGGTGTCAGGTGTGTGGGGTGGGTTCCTGTTCAGAGGTGAGTTTCTCTGATTCTGATGAATTCCCCTCTGTTTTACTGCTTTTATACTCTGAACCCCCAATATTGGGACCAATAAGCAGGACTTTCCTTGTTTATGTTTTTTGGTAATTACCAGGGAATTGCCAAGGAGAAATTTACTCCCTTTGTATTTGAAACTTATGTAAAAACTGTTTGATCTTTTCCTTAATTAGTAATATTAAGGACCTCTTCAGAAATGAGACAGTCAGGAATCATCCCCAGCAATATTTTAGTCACGTGACATTTCCCACTGGGTTGGGGAAGGTCAGAAGAGTTTTCCTGGTTTTGTAACTTTGTCCATATTTAGACTGGGAATTCTCTGAGAGATTCAGGAGTTGATGTGTTCCGTATTGAATAAAAATCTTCTTGAGTCTCAGTTGAGCTCCCAGAAAGATGGATTCAAGGATCTACTACCAGAAATGTGTTTCCCAGTCCTACCAGAGACACCTGGGTAGAGGACGGTTGGTCCAATGCTTTTTGCACGTGAATCAGCACCGAAATAGGAGAACAGAGGCACAGGCAGCCCACTGGGTTTGATTCATTCACATTCCATCTCTGTTTTCCAGCTGTGCCCGTATCTCAGGTGAGACATCCCAACTCGCATGTACTTCTTTTACAAACTGAGACAAACTGATGAGATAAGATGATGGCCAGAGTATACTTGAATTTATAAATGCAGGTTTCAGCAAATGTGGAAAATTGCCAGCCATAATCTCCTAAATTCTCTTGTGCCCCATTCACTCAGTCTTTTAGGTGGGTCTGTAGAAGCGAAATTGTCCAGTTGTAGGGAAAGTGTAGAGTCAACAGTGTGGAAAGAATAGAGCAATGTTTCAACATTTCTCTGCCAGCAGGGTCTTCCGCTCTCCCTGATACTGTGAGCCTTCTGAATTCTACTGGTACCTAACTAGGGCTTTTAAAAATTTGAAGTATAATTGACATATAACACTTTATTAGTTTCAGGTATAGAACATAATGATGTGCTATTTGCATATATCACAAAATAATGACTACAACAGTAAGTCTAGTTAACATCTATCATCATTCATAGTTACAAATGTTATTTTTTTTCTTTTGTTGAGAATGTTTAGGATATACTCTCTTATCAACTTTTAAATATGCAATACAGTATTATTATCTATAGTCACCATACTGTGCATTACATGCCCATGACTAATTTATTTTATAACTTGGAATTTGTGTTTTTTGACTCCCTTTACCTACTTTTCCCACCCCCACTCCCCACTTCTGGCTACCACCAACATGCTCTCTATATCTTTGAGGTCATTGTTTTACACTTTACATAGAAGTGAGGTCATATAGTATTTGTCTTTTTCTGTCTAACTTATTTTATTTAGTGTGATGCCCTCAAGGTCCACCCATGGAGGCACAAATAGGAAGATTCTCTTCTTTTTATGATGGAATAATATTTTATTATAGATATATGTTACATCTATATATTATACTTACATATGCAGATAGATATAGCTATATATCACATTTTCTTTATCCATTCATTCATCAATGGACACTTAGGACTTTTCCATGTTTTGGTTATTGCTAGTAATGCTACAGTGAGCATATGGTGTATATATTTATTTTAGTTAGTGGTTTTGTTTTCTTCAGTTAAATACCCAGAAATGGGATCACTGGACCCTAAGGCAGTTCAATTTTAAAGTTTTGAGGAACCTCCATTCTGTGTTGCATAGTTGCTGTATCCAGTTATAACCCCACCAATAGTGCATAGGGTTCCCTTGTCTCCACATCCTCGCCAACACTTTTTAGGTCTTCTTTCTTTGATTATTCTCATTGTAACAGGTGTGAGGTGATATGTCATTGTTGTTTTATTTTGGATTTCCCTGATGACTAGTGATGTTGAGCACCTTTCCATGTACTTATTGGCCACCCGTATGCCTTCTTTGCCAAATGACTATTCAGATCCTCTGCCCATTATTTAATCAGACTGTTTATTTGTTTGTTTTGCTGTTGAGTTGTGTAAGTTCTTAATATATTTTGGAAATGAATCCCTTATCAACTACACAATTTGCAAAGACTTGTTCTCACCCAGACATTTGCCTTTTTATTTTGTCAATGCTGTCCCTTACTGTGTAGAAGCTTTTTAATTTGATATAGTTTCACTTGTTTGGTGAAACAAGTGAAAGAAGATTTTGGCTTTGTTTTGTGTCAACTCCAAAAAATCATTGCCGACATCTATGTGAATGAGCTTATTGCCTATGTTTTCTTCTAGAAATGTTATAGTTTCAGGGCTTATACAAATATTTAATCCATTTTGAGTTAATTTTTGTGTATGGTGTAAGGTAGTGAGTGGCCCATTCTTATTCTTTTGCATATAGCTGCATCATTTTCCCAACGTCATTAATGAAGTGACTGTTTTTTCCCTAAAGTGTATCATAGATTAATTGACCATATGTGTGTGGATTTATTCCTGGGCTCTCTATTCTGTTCCGTTGATGTATGTGTCTGTTTTTGTGCCAATGCCATATTGTTTGACTACTATAGCTTTGTTATATAGTTTGAAATCAGGGCACATGATGCCTCCAGCTTTGCTTTTCTTTCTCAAGATTGCTTTCACTATTTGGGGTTTCTTATCATTCCATATAAATTTTAGGGGTTTTTTTCTATTTCTGTAAAAAATGCCATTGGAATTTTCATAGGGATTGCATTGAATCTGTAGATTGCTTTAAGTAGTATGGACATTTTAACAATATTAATTTTTTTGATCCAAGAGTGCAGAATATCTTTCCATCGTTTGTGTTTTTAAAATGTTTTTCATATATATCTTTTAGTTTTCAGTGTAAAGATATTTTTTCTCCTTGGTTAAATTTATTCCCAAGAGTTTTAATCTCTTTGATGAGATTGTCAGTGCAATTCTAATTTTTTCTAAAAGTTTTTTATTAGTGTATGCAAACACAACAGATTTTTATATATTGATTTTGTATCCTGCAACTTTCCTAAATTTGTTGATTGGTTCTAACAATTATGGGTGGAGTCTTTAGATATTTTTATATGTAATATTATGTCATCTACAATTAGAGTCAGTTTTACTTCTTCCATTCTGATTTGATTGTCTTTATCTCTTTTTCTACCTAATTGCTATGGCTAGGACTTCCAACGCTCTATGGATTAAAAGTGGTAAGAGTGGGCATTTTTATCTTATTCTTGGTTTTAGAGAAAAAGTTTCTGTTTTTCAACATTAAATGTGGCATTAGCTCTGTGCTATTATATATAGCCTTTATGTGTTGAGGTACATTACCTCCTGACCCACTTTTGAGACTTTTTAGCATACGTGGATGTCAGATTTTGTCCAATGTCCTTCCTGCATCTCTTTAGATTATGATATGATTTTTAGTCATTTGGTAAATGTTATATATAACATCAATTGATTGATTTGCAAGGTGTGGAACTACTTTTGCATCCCACTTTATCATGGTGTATGATCCCTTTAACGTATTGTTGAATTCTGTTGGACAATATTTTTTTGAGAAATTTGCACCTAAGTTCATCGGAGGTATTGGACTCCAATTTTCTGTTATTGCAGTGTCCTTGTCTAGTTTTGATGTCAGGAGAGAGCTGGCCTCATAGAAAAGGTTTTGGTTATCCCCTTTTATTGTATGCTTTGAAAGAATTTGAGAAAAAATTGTTAATAAATTCTTCTTGAACTGTTTGGTAGAATTCACCAATGAAGTAATCTGTTTCTGAACTTTTGTCAGTTGGGATGTTTTATCGCAATTCATTCATTTTATTAGAAATTGGTCCTTCCCGATGTTCTGATTTCTACCTTGTTCATGCACATCTAGCCAGGTGGGGTGTATGTTTATTTGTTTGTTTCTTGTAGCCTGTCCAATTTGACATCATATCATTGTTCTTAGTAGTCTCTAATGATCTTTTGTTAAGTAAGTAAATCTTAGGTTAATGTTCTTATCACAAAAACAAAAAAAATAAAAAACACGGAGACAGAAAAGAATCTTTTGGAGGTGATATATCTGTTACCTCAATTATGGAAAGGATATTATGAAGCATGCATAAATCCAAACTCATCAAAATATATACTTTACACAAATGCATTTTTGTGTATTAAGTTACCTCAATAAAGCTGAGGGAAAAGAAGAAATATCAAAATTTCATGACTTAGTTTCCTCCTCATAACACTTATTAGTCTCCCACCTGAAAGTCTAGAAAAATGGGTCATGATGCGCAACAGGGAGGGAAAAGTCCTAAGAGCCTTATTCTCATGCTAGCGATGCCCGGTTTCACATTCAAAACTCCGCCCGCCTGACTCACAAAGAATGAGCCATCAAACTAAAAGACAGCTTTATCCTCCCAAGTCACCAAAAAGAGTGTGGCTTATTAGAACTTTTATTCATTGCCCATGGGGAGACATGCTCTGCTGTGCAACACGAGACTAAGACACACATTGTCCAATGGCAGAAATCATGTGACAGCTCTCTTTGAGGAAGCTGAAGCAAGAGAGACAAGTAAGAGGTGATTCAGGGAGAGCTTAACTGATGAATTCTAACACATCAGGAAAAGGAAGCAATGTTTTCCATCCATCTTGAAAGGGTTAACCAGGAAAACAAACTTAGCTAATTTGATAATTGCCTGTTAATTAGGACAAACAATGACAAGGACAGAGCCCTGAGTCTGATGACAGAAGCCCCTTAGCAGGGTATAAAAGGGGACCTGGACAAGCAGACTTCCAAACCTTCCAAACCCACCTTCCTGAAAACTCACCCAGAACCTCCACTCTCAGACACCATGGTCAACTCCTGTTGTGGATCTGTCTGCTCTGACCAGGGCTGTGGCCAGGAGACCTGCTGCCGCCCCAGCTGCTGCCAGACCACCTGCTGTAGGACCACCTGCTGCCGCCCCTCTTGCTGTGTGTCCAGCTGCTGCAGGCCTACCTGTTGTATCTCTAGCTGCTGCCGCCCCACCTGCTGCCAGTCTCCCTGCTGCCGCCCCAGCTGCTGTGTGTCCAGCTGCTGCCGCCCCTCTTGCTGTGGCTCCAGCTGCTGTGGTTCTAGCTGCTGCAGGCCTACCTGTTGCATCTCTAGCTGCTGCCGCCCCAGCTGCTGTGTGTCCAGCTGCTGCCGCCCCTCTTGCTGTGGCTCCAGCTGCTGTGGCTCCAGCTGCTGCAGGCCTACTTGTTGCATCTCTAGCTGCTGCCGCCCCACCTGCTGCCAGACTCCCTGCTGCCGCCCCAGCTGCTGTGTGTCCAGCTGCTGCCGCCCCTCCTGCTGTGGCTCCAGCTGCTGCAGACCCACCTGCTGCATTTCTAGCTGCTGCCGCCCCAGCTGCTGCCAGACCAGCTGCTGCCGCCCAGTCTGTTCTAGTGGTTCCTGCTGCTAATTGCCCTGACCTGTGTCCACCTGGTTTTCACCAACCCATCTTCTTAATGTCGTCCCATTGAAATGAGTCATCAGAGGCCAATTGAAAAACATCAGTTCCAACTGATTCTTCTACTGACTTTGGCCTCCAAATATACTGCCCCCCTGACCACCACCATGTTACTGTCTCCTAAAAGAACACAAAGTTTGAATTTTCTCTTGAAAGCTTTCAACCAGCAAGTCATCCCAACTGATATATTTCTTCCGTGCCAGATTTTTCTTACATGGAGATGTCCCTAAGTCTTAAATAAATCTTAAATTTCCAGGCATACAAAGCAACAGCCTCATGTTTCATGATTTCCTCTTGACTCGTCATCTTTAGCTGTTGATTGTTCTGTCATTTTTCTCTGCAGAGAGCAGACTATAGCAAGCGTTTGCAGGGTTTCTACCTCTATGCTTGGGTCATTCTTATTCTAATTTAGGGAGATGGTTTCTTATAGCAAACACTCTGATCCCTCTGCCTGTGGACTTTCTCTGGATGTGGAGCAAACCTTGGACTGGCTGGAGTCAGGAGTTAGTGCTCCTGACCAGTGCTCTCAACCAGTGGATGGGTGGGACAGAGCAATGCTCCAGCTTCTTTCTCCTCAAATGGGGGCAAGTTGTGCCAGAGTCCAGAGGGCCTCCGTGGAATAAACCCCAGCTCCCTACAGGAGTAGTCTCCTCATTAAATCATTTTATATTGGTCTGTCTGTCCCTTCCCCAGATCACTTCCCAGGTTTCCTACAGTGCCTTTTAGGATTATCTCCCAAATAAACTCCTAGGTTTTAAGCCCCAGTTTTGCGGTCTGTTCCTGAGGGCACCCAATCTAAGACACAAGTGTTCCAATCTCACTACCAGTGCCCTTGAAAACAGTTCTTAGTATATTACGAAAGGTTGCCAACTGTGTCAATTCAGATCCAGTAACCAAGAACATCCAATCAGGGTGTTCCTATTTCCTCTGAGGAAATGGCCGTGGATTCCTTTGGGAAGGGACTGGAGAGATCACTGGTACATGCACCTGCTGTGGTCCTTAGTTTTGCAGGACTGGCCTCTTTCAATGGGTCAGTCAGTGGGTTGTAGGTATGAAAACCAGGTGAGGAATCATGATTTTCCATCGGGATCGCTGGCCTCAGCCTGTGGGTCACACATCACTTTGCCCCAGTTGTCATTCCAAAATTGCTGCCCATCACATATTTATATCCACACTATTTCTTACAGTTAAATGCTGCCACCTGGTCTGTCAAGGATGTTATTATCCCCATTGCTCCTTGGGAGCTCAGTTCTATGGCAATATTCTGTACTTTAGACAATGGACTACCATATTGCTAAATGATGCTGCCGACCTCCTTACCTGTTCATTCCTTATTACTTTATTATATATATACTGTACCCCCAGAGTCCTCTTAGGGAGCTTATTCAGCTGGTTGGGTTTCCTGGCCTTACAATGACATCTATTCTAGTGCATTAATGGCTATGCACCCTTCACTCTCTTCACCCTCATCTCTGTGTTGTGTGGTACTAGATAAATCTGTGCTAGTTATCTGTCATTATGTAATATTACCTCAGATTTTAGCAGCTTAAAATGATGCCCGTTTACTCTCTCACAGTTTTGGTGGATCAGGAATCCAAGCACGGCTCAGCTGGGGTCTCTATTTTGTAATGATTCATAGGACTGCAACCAAGGTCTAAAGTCTTAACTGAAAAAGAATCCACCTCCAGGTTCACTTACATAGCTGTTGACACAATTCAATTCCTCAAGGGCCATTAGAGTGAAAGTCACAGTCCCATGCTGGTCAGATGTTGGCAGCACAGATATCTCTTTCCCAGGCAGCTTCCTGCTTCATCAGAACCCGTAAGGGGGAGGGAAAGTTGGCTGCGAGTTGAAAAGTCCCAACCTTTTCAAACTTAACCACTTGATGTTGCCATGTGCTGTTGGTTAGAAGCAAGTTATTGAATGGGAGGGAATTACATAAGACCATGAACACCATCTAAAGGCCATCTAGAAGTTGCCTGCCACACTCTTCCATAATATTGAATGAAAGAATAAAAACACATAATACATATATTAAGATTCCACTTATATAAAATTAAAAAATGTGAAACTAAACTCCGTTGTTTTAAATGAATACCTAGGTGATAAAATTATAGAAAAAAAATTGCACTGGTTGGTGTAGCTCAGTGGATTGGGTGCTGGCCTGTGAAACAAAGGGTCACCAGTTTGATTCTCAGTCTAGGGCACATGTCTGGGTGCAGGCCAGGTCTCCTGTTGGGGGTGCTCAAGAAGCAACCACACATCAATGTTTCCTCCCATTTTTTCTTTCTCCCTTCCTCTCTCTCTAAAAACGAATAAGTAAAATCTTTTTTAAAAACCTGCAGACACAGACACCTCCGAGGCAAAAAAAAAAAAAAAAAAACTTATAAAAAATCAGTGAAAAGGTTACTTTAGAAAGCAGGACAGTGAGTACCTGTAGGTGAAAGGAGAGAGATGGGGTGGAGAGAAGACACATCGAGGGCCCTGTTGGAGAGAGGAATGCCCTGTTTCTTGACTTGGGTGTTGGGATGCGTAGATGTTTGCTTCATAATTATTTATATTACATTATGCATGTATATTTTATATGCTTTTCAGTATATGGTAGTCTTCCCTCCAATCTGAGGTTTTGTTTCCTGTAGTTCTAGTTGCCCATAGTCAACTGTGGTCCCAAAATAGTAAAGGGTAAATTTTAGAACACAATTGATAAGTTCTAAATTGCATGCCATTCTGAGTAGCAGGATGAAACTTGATGCTGCCCTGTTTCATCCTACCTGGGTGGTGAGTCATCCCTTTGCCCAGCATATCTGCACTCTGTCTGCCATCCATCCGTGAGTCATTTAGTAGCTGCCTCAGTTGTCAGATGCACTGTCTTGCTATTGCAGTGCTGGTTTTCAAGTCGCCCGTATTTACTTAATAAGACCTCAAAGCTCAAGGGCAGTGATGCTGGCAATTCTGATATGCCTTAGAGAAGCAGTAATGCTTCCTTTAAGTAAAAGTTTTTAACTTAATAAAAAAGAAAAACATGTATGCTGAGGTTGTTAAGTTCTACAGTAAAATAGATATTATATTCATGAAAGGCTAAAGAAGGAAAGAGAAATTTGTGCTAGTTTGTTGTGGGAGTACCTCAGAATATTTTGGTGACCTCAAGAAGAGTGAAATTTACCCAAAGCTATAGGTATTGTAGGCAAAGCTGACTGCAAGTGTCTGCCTTGGCTTCTTAGCCTCAAGAGGCTATTAAAAGTTCAGTCTGAAGATTCCATATGAAAAGTAGCAAAAGCCTACTCAAAACCACAACAAGATACCACCTCACACCTTTAAAATGGTTATTATCAACAACAAAATGTAAAGTGGTACAGCCACTAGGAAAGCAGTATGGAGGATACTAAAAAAAAATTAGGAATAGAGTTACCATATGACTCAGAAATCCTTCTTCTTGGTGTTCCCCCCCCCAAAAAAATGAAAACATTTATTCATAAAGATATATGTACCCTTGTGTTCAGTGAAGCATTATTCATGGTGGCCAGACATGGAAACAATCAAAGTGTTCTTCAATAGGTGATTGGATAAAGATGTCGTACATATAAACAATGAATACTACTCAGCCATGAGAAAAGATGAAATACTGCCATTTGTGACAACATGGATGGATCTTGAGAATATCATGCTAAGTAAAATAAGTCAGATAGAAAAAGTCTAGAACCATATAATTTTATTCATGTGGGATATAAAACTGAAAACAACAAATGACCAAATAAGACACACAAACAAAAACTCATAGATACAAACAACAGTGTGGAGGTTACTAGAGGGACAGGGGATTGGGAGAAGGTAGTAAAGGATAAAAGAGCTCAAATATATGGTGATGGAAGGAGACTTGCCTTTGGGTGTTAAACACACACGCAATATACAGATGATGTATTACAAAATTAACCTATATAATTTTACACACCAAAGTCACCTCTCAAATTTTCCTTTAAAAAAAAAGAATTCAATTAACTTAGCTTTTGGATTGCAAAATTTCCTGGGGAAGTTTCCAAGGCAAGAGTGTCAAGGATCAGAATCTGCCACTCCAAAATATGTCTCTTCGGAAAAAGGATATTTTAGCTGGTTACTTTTAAGATACAGAAGAGGAGGAGCTCTGAAAACCAACTGGAAGTTACCCTTTTGTAAGAGATATTTACAGGTATAAGAAAAGTCCACATCTGTAAGGGCGTCTGTCACACTGTACCAGGGGGAGGGCATGACTCAGTCTCTAGAAACTCTTATCAGTGGAGAAGGCAGGGACTTACCTCTGTGTGACAACTCCATCCTTGTTTGCTCTGCTTTTCCTGGCCACCTCCCATAACCAAATCCCCACCCACAAGGTCTTCTTCTGTCTTTCACTGACGATGGCATCTAAGGTGAAGCTATATGCCATCTTGGGGGTGTGACTTAGTCCCCGAGTCTCTCCCATGGGTACAGGAGGTATTCATATTGTTCAACTGTTGCTAGTGTTTTCCCTGTTAATCGGTTTTTCTCCAGGTAATTCTTAGACCAGCAAAGAGAACCTAGAAGGGTAAAGGAGAAATTTTTCCTCCCCAACACAAAGTTGGGCTCAGGCATGGATTCACTTTGTCACTGCAAACGTGTCGGCATCCTGCCCATCATGCCAGGGATGATCCCCAATCAAATTACAGTTGCAGAAACAGCACTAAGACGTGAAAGGTACTGAGCCTCATGAGGCCAGCAGAAGCTCTGAGAGTGGACCAGGTGACCAGGTTATGAACAAAGCAGGAACGATGCTGACAATGTGACCATCTTCCTTATATCTGAAAAAGTTTCTATGAATTATTCTCAATTAAGAAACACATTAAACACTCATTTTCTACATATTCATAACACTGAATGAATAACTTCCTTTTCTATAATTCCCAGAGACTATAGAAAACAGCATAAACAACAACAAGGAAAGTCCTGCTCATTGGTCCAAATTGGAGGGAGTAGGGGTAGAGGAAGGGGGTCCAGTGTATAAAAGCCCCAGAAACAGGGAGGCATCAGAATCTGAGAAACTCACCTGTGAACAGAAACTCACCTTCCTTCCCTGACACCATGTGCTGCTCCCCTTGCTGCCAGCCCACCTGCTGTGGGTCCAGCTGTGGCGGGTGTGGTTGCTGCTGCCAGCCTTGCTGCCGCCCAACCTGCTGTCAGACCACCTGCTGCAGGACCACCTGCTGCCAGCCCTGCTGCCGCCCCTGCTGCGTGAGCAGCTGCTGCCAGCCTTGCTGCCGCCCCTGCTGCGTGACCAGCTGCTGCCAGCCTTGCTGCCGCCCCTGCTGCATGTCCAGCTGCTGCCAGCCTTGCTGCCGCCCCTGCTGCGTGTCCAGCTGCTGCCAGCCTTGCTGCCGCCCCTGCTGCGTGTCCAGCTGCTGCCAGCCTTGCTGCCGCCCCTGCTGCGTGTCCAGCTGCTGCCAGCCCTGCTGCCGACCAACCTGCTGTCAGACCACCTGCTGCAGGACCACCTGCTGCCAGCCTTGCTGCCGCCCTTGCTGCTGCTGACTGCCTCTCCAAAGAACCACCATCTTCGCATCCCACCTGTTAACTAACTTACCATTTTGGAAAAACATTCACTACCTAGACTTTGCTGACAGCCAGCATGTTTGATCATAATTTCTGTTCTTTATTTGCCTGATGAAAACTCTGAAGCAGCTTGAAGGAGTGCAGAGGGCTTCTCCTGGTCCTCTTCCTCCAGTGTGTGTGGGTCATGGGCCAGCTCTGTGCGTCTTTGATACACTGTTATGGTCTCTGCTTTGACTCTGCATCAGGGTCTTCAGCTTCTCCCTCCATGTACCTTAGAAAAATGAATTCTTACAACTGTTCTTAGGTTTTCTCCAACTATTGAAAATCTTCACAGTCATGTTTTCTGTATCAGTGTACTCATGGTTCTTGTAATCCTGCTTTCTTCTTTTCCTGGACACTTTGACTGGCTCCCTCAATGCAGGGAGTCTTACCTATATTTCTTAATAAATTCTGTACTGTTGTGCATCCCATATTGCATTTTGTTTTAGTGTCCAGCACTCCTGATGTAAAGATGATACACATGTTGCATATCACATGCATTGTCCACTCTGAGCCTCATCTAGTCCCCCAAAAATAATTATCTCCATCCTTCATGTGGGCACCTTTCACGGGGTGATGTTACACAGCTGAGATGGGCAGACTCAGACTCAGACCCCGGACTGTGTCTTACACCTCTGCTCACTGGCACTGAAGTTTCTACTTCAAGACAAATCAGGAAAGAAATCTTGGGCCTGAGCACGAGCAAGTTGTTCGTTTGAGTGTCTTTCACCACAGAAGCAATATCTCTTGTACATACATGTAGATTACACCTGCATACAAAGTTCTTCCCAAATTGGTGTCCCATACCTCAGCTACATATTAGGGCAGCAGGAGCTGCATTTTAGAGCCCTACTGGGTGCAGGATCCTTTCCTGTCTTTGGTGCTGTCTAGCTACTCATGCTCTCAAGGGCATCCAATGCTGGGGAGCATCCAGTGCATCCTCACGAGGAAGGACTCATCTAAAGAGACTCCTTTGCCCTCATGTAAATCCGACTGTTGTGTGGCCTCCTTCTCCTGAGCACCTACTGACCAGAGTAGAAGGGAGTAAGTCATTCCCAGCAGAACACTGTATGTTCCCCAGCTTTGAGGCAGTTTCCCATTCTGATGAAAACACTGAGAGAACGTAGTGAGAACAAAGTTGGGAAGTGAGAAACGATGCAGGGGGCATGTGTGACTAAATACCTGACCCCTCTCAGGAAACAGAGACTCTCCTGTGCTTCCTCAGTCAACTAGGAAGCATTTGGGAGAGAGAGAAACTTACGTTCCAGGGGCACAGGAAGAACATGAGAAAGAAGAACAGGAGAAGAGGCTGTGCATGCCTAGTGGCCGTGATGGACAGAAGGCTGGTGCTTTGGTCCGGAGCAAGCAATGCTGCCTGGACCTTCTTGGAGGTGAGGTTGGAGCAGTTTGGAGCCTGGGCCCCCTCCTCAGGAACAGTAGTGGGACCTCTGATGCACCTGCCAGGCTGGTGTCTGGGACACATGCTAAGTTCTGAGGCTGTGAATCTGGGAGGCTCTGAAGAGACTGCCAAGGCCAGACTTGCTGATTGCTGTTCCTTGGTGGCTGTCTGGGTGATTGACATGAGAAACGAACATGTTCTGGGGGACCCACTATTTGCTGGGTATACAGTAAGCACCTTATCTACATATCTTTAATTCTTGAAGAAATTTTCAAAGGGGGTACAAATGTTCCCATGTTAGAGATGAGGAAATTGATACTGTGTGATAAGCCAGTATCACAGTGGCAACTGAAATGTAGACCTAAGAGAAAATATCAGAAATGCTATAAAGCACACACTTTATGATCATCCTACCTGAGTAATGAGGGAGCCAACTCTGTGCAAACCAAGTCTCTAGAAGCATCAGTTGAGTGTTTTTTTCAGTGTGACACACACAAGCAGTCTCCTTCAGTGACTGCAAGAGAAAAAAACCCAACTTTTAGGCAGAGATACAAACCTGGCTGATAAAAACTTGCACTAAGTTCCAAACGCACTAAGATCCAAAATATATTGGTGGTGTATTCAAAACCTCATCTACAGTCTGTGTATTTCTCCACTCAAATTCAATATTGGGTTCTTCAGTGTGGTGGAAACCCATGGTTTCTAGAAGAGGAATGAGGATGAAGAAAGTTGGTAGAGGAAAAGGAGAAGAAGAAGAAGAAGAGGAAAAGGAAGAAGGAGGAAGAGGAGGAGGGGAATGAGGAGGAAGAGGAGGAAAATGAGGCAAGAAGAAGAAGAGAAAGGAGAAGGGGGAAGAAGGGGAGGGAACAGGGGGAGAGAGAAGAAGGAAGAAAAAGAGGAAGAAAGAAAAAGAAAACAACACAGTAAATGTGTAGTCAGTGATGTGAGGTCACTGACTCTGCTGGTTAACAAGGTTAGGACCGGAGTGACAGCCCATCCTGGCTGGCCCAAACTGCCCCAGTTGTACCACTGGGGAGTCCCATGTCCAAGGAACCCCATCGTCCTGGATAATCAGGACTACTGGTCACCCAGGAGGTAAAATGACTGATATTTTCAGTCCCGGCTCCTGCTTTGACCCGCCTGCTTTGGTTCTGCCCTGCGTATGAAAGAGATAATGCCAAACATTCTCCACTCAAGTGTCTGCAATAGAACTGGGGAACACGGGTAGGGCGGGCTGCTCCAGAGGGCTCTCTGTCATGGTCTTGAATCAGGCTTTTGTGGGGAAACAGGCTTGGACTCAAGCATGGTTTCCCTTCATCCCTTTGCACATATCAGCATCATGCCACACACCACAGGGATACGTCACATTTGAAGTCAGCTGGAGAAACAAACTGGGGGGGACACCTGTCCTGACCCTTAGGAGGCCATCAGGAACTTTATCATACAACCAGGAAGTGATCAAAGCAGAAATGATGCTGATGATGTGACTTCCTTCCTTTTATCTGAAAAAGTCTGTATGAATTATTCTCAATTCAGAAACACATTAAACACTTGTTTTCTAAAGATTCATATCATTTAAGAAACAACTTCCTTTTTATATCTCCCCCAGTGAATATGGAAAACAAATATAAGCAAAAATAAGGAAAGTCCTCCTCCTTGGTCCAAACTTCGGGAGGTACCATGTATCAAAGCCCAGCATAGGAGGAGTCATGGGATTCTGGAAATTTTACCACTGAACAGGAGTCCATACTCTATCCCTGACACCATGACCCATTTGTGCTGCTCCCCTTCTTGCCAACCTGCCTGCTGTGGGACCACCTGCTGTGGGACCACCTGCTGCCGACCCACCTGCTACTGTAGCCCTTGCTGTGTATCCAGCTGCTGCCAGCCTTCCAGCTGCTGATCATCTCACCATGGAATCTTGTCACACAAACTAACATTCTGAGATTCAACCTGTCACCTCTTTAGTCACTGCCACAATAACCAGGCTTCACTGACATCCAGCTACCACCATCTTCCTATTAGTCATTCTTGATTACAAGGTTCTGTGCATGGGCAGGGTGAGATGCAGTCAACTTCAGCCCATTTTCCTCACCTTTACTTGCTGTTATCTCTGTGAGAGCTCAGGTGTTAGGTCTCCTTGACCTATAGTCATTGTGTCAGCCTTGCAGGAATGATCGCCACTTTTTCTGTAAGTCAGATAAAGCACAACTCATTAGCATAGGCTTCCTCCATGTTTATTACTATATTATTATGATCGTTTTTTTAATGTGCTCATTACTAAGCAGACTGGGGCCCATCCTCGTGGCACCTTGGAGAATGACCCAACTATTAATGCTGGAAGGAATAGGCCTTTATTACAATATGCCAACTTTGGGGTGTCTCAGAGCACCTCAGCTCAGAGCCCTCCTTTGCCATGAGACCCAGCACTTCCCTGCTCCCCACCAGGCTGCTAACCAAAAACATGCTCAAAAGTTTCCCATTTTCTTATCTGTGCAGGATCTGGAATATGTTGTCATCAGTGTCCATATACTAGTTGAGAAAAGGCACAAGTGCTGAGAGCCCAGGTGAAGTCCAGGGACAGCAGGTCAGGACCTTGCAAGGAAATCCTTGGCAGCCCTGGAGTCAGGTAGAGCAGGCACGATCACAGCAGCAGCATCTCCTGGCTTATTAGGACAGTCCACGTGGCCTCCTTCCTCACTATAAATTGCATGGCTGCTTGCTTATATCTTCCTTCTCACCATTCTCTTTTCAAACTGCATGATCAACTCCCCTTCTCCTTCCCAAACCACAGGCACAGAGAGAGAGAGAGTGGGAGAGAGAACATCATAGCTGCTACATCATCCCTCCTGCAGGGCTCTCCTCCTCCCCTCCAAGCCACATGATAAAAATCCCTTACTACTGACAGCATACCTCATTCTTCACTACTACTGCCCTCGTGGCCAAGACAGTGGATGGCTGCTGAGCCTAGTTTCAAATCCCAGCCTTGATCTTCCAGCAGGACCCCGTTTCCGACTCCTCCCACAGTGGGCTACATCTTCCCTCTCCCCATATCTTTTGCCTTCCTCCAGTTTCCATTGTTAATCTAGGCAGGTGTGGCTCCCTGCAGGGAACTACTTCCCTGCTCTAAGCTCCCAGGCTAGGTCACAAGCTAAGATACACTCAGAAAGTCATTCCCATCTCCCTTGCCTCAAGTGGCTGCCACAGCTTTTTAACATAACTATGAAGCTAGCCAAGTTGCCAAAAAAGGCTCTGCTCCGCTTCTCCCATCCCCCAAGCCAGGCTTCTGAAGAATGTCCTCTAAACCATCTGATGTGCTCATTATCCTTCTCTTTTCATGATTACTTGCTTATTGCCCCAGCTGTGGGAAGCTTCTCTGGTTGCTTCCCAATAGTCTTTGCTATCATCCAGCCTACATTGTGATTTTACTTTTTGTATAGCATTTACTCTGAAGTCCTTACACTCAAGTTTCATTTCACAAGTCTTATCTACTCTGAGCCTGGCAGTCACCCCTCAACTTGCAGAACCAAGATGATCACCTCCCTTTTACAGATGAGTTGAAGTCACTTGGCTACTTACAGACAGAATTTGGTCAAGGGCTAGGACCTCTGATTCTAATTCCAAGGTCTTACATGTAGGTCTTCTTACAAACTCAAAGAAAACAGCGATCTGATTACTGGGAAGATGTGTGCTTTGAACTGACCACACAGCTTTGAAAATAAACCTTTCCATGCACAGATAATCCTGCTTTTTTACAAATGTATTCGACCACCTGCTTCTAAAAGCTCAATGAGCACTGGTACATAAGCCCATTAGGCCGTTTTGTTTTTAAGATTTTATTTATTTATCTTTAGAGGAGAAGGGAAGAAGAAAGGGAGAGAAACATCAATGTGTGGTTGCCTTTCCCGCACCCCCTACTGGGGACCTGGCCTGCCACCCAGTCATGTTCCCTGAAGGGAATCAAACCAGCAACCCCTTGGTTCACAGGCACTCAATCCACTGAGCTACGCCACCCAGGAAAATTTTTCTGTTTTACTCCTCACTCAAGCACAGGCTTATTGATTTTAAAGAGAGAGGAAGGAGGGGAGGGAGGCACAGAAACATCCGTGTGTAAGAGAAATAACAATCAGTTGCCTCTCGCACATGCCCCAACAGGGGGCAAAACCCACAAGCCAGACAGGTTCCCTGACCAGGAATCAAACCAGAGACCTTTAAGTTTATGAGACGACACTTCAGCCCACTGAGCCACAACAGCCAGGGCATTCAAATAAATTAATAAAATTTAAAATAAATATATAAAAGAGTCTATATACTCCATCAGTATTCTTGCCACTCTTATGTAAATAAGCAGGCCAAATGTAATAAGACTAGATTTGTTAAGAAAACAAATTAGTTTTACTACAATTACTTTTGGTAAAAATGGGGGTGAGTATAGAGGAGAAAATTTTGTTTCAGTAGAAACTTTAATACACACCTGTTGAGATTAGATTCTAGTGCTATTCATTGTTTTTAAGGTTTTGTTTCTCTGAATCTTCTAGTTTCCTCATGTTTGGCTATGACCCTCTGAACTAATGTTCCAAATTTTCTCCAATCCTTTGTGATTTGTAATCACTGAGAACTAAAGCTGCCCCCCCCTTTTTTTTTTGAAGCACTACAAAGGTATTAAATAACTTGATATACACTTCAGAGAAATTGCCACAATACTTTAGGTTTAGACAATTTTCGTCAGGACTGAGGCTCTGTGGGACACGCCAAAAGTTTATCTAAACCCCCTGATGACGTCATCAAAGACATTCAAACTGCAAAGGATGCGCTGACCCCTCCGTCTACAAATATTCTTTTCCCTTCAATGGCTGCCCTCTGGAGTCAGGCTGGGGTTATGGTTTGCTCCAAACATTAAACTTTGTTTTTCTCTGTTTGTTGTATAAAAATGCTTTATTAAATAACTGGTTTTTCACACAATCTGGTTCTACCTTTGGAAGCCCTCTGGCATCACCTGCCTCCTGAATGAGTCACTGCTTTTTAATGGCACTGACCTGATCTCAGGACTGAGAGTCCTGGTTCAATGAGTTGTAAAGGAATCGATCAACTTAGCTTTTGGATTGTGGAACTTCCTGGCAAAGTTTCCAAGGCAGGAGTGTAGGGAGTAGAATCTGTCACCCCAACATATGTCTCTTGGGGGAAAAGGATATTTTAGCTGGTTACTTTTAAGATACAGCAGAGGAGGAGCTCTGAAAACCAACTGGAAGTTACCCTTTTGTAAGAGATATTTACAGGTATAAGAAAAGTCCACATTTGTAAGGGCGTCTGTCACACTGTACCAGGGGGAGGGCATGACTCAGTCTCTAGAAACTCTTATCAGTGGAGAAGGAAGGGACTTACCTGTGTGTGACAACTTCATCCTTGTTTGCTCTGCTTTTCCTGGCCACCTCCCATAACCAAATCCCCACCCACAAGGTCTTCCTTTGTCTTTCACTGACGATGGCATCTAAGGTGAAGCTATATGCCATCTTGGGGGTGTGACTTAGTCCCCGAGTCTCTCCCATGGGTACAGGAGGTATTCATATTGTTCAACTGTTGCTAGTGTTTTCCCTGTTAATCAGTTTTTGTCCAGTTAATTCTTAGACCAGCAAAAAGAACCTAGAAGGGTAAAGGAGAAATTTTTCCTCCCCAACACAAAGTTGGGCTCAGGCATGGATTCACTCTGTCACTGCAAACGTGTCGGCATCCTGCCCATCATGCCAGGGATGATCCCCAATCAAATTACAGTTGCAGAAACAGCACTAAGACGTGAAAGGTACTGAGCCTAATGAGGCCAGCAGAAGCTCGGAGAGTGGACCAGGTGACCAGGTTATGAACAAAGCAGGAACGATGCTGACAATGTGACCATCTTCCTTATATCTGAAAAAGTTTCTATGAATTATTCTCAATTAAGAAACACATTAAACACTCATTTTCTACATATTCATAACACTGAATGAATAACTTCCTTTTCTATAATTCCCAGAGACTAGAGAAAACAGCATAAACAACAACAAGGAAAGTCCTGCTCATTGGTCCAAATTGGAGGGAGTAGGGGTAGAGGAAGGGGGTCCAGTGTATAAAAGCCCCAGAAACAGGGAGGCATCAGAATCTGAGAAACTCACCTGTGAACAGAAACTCACCTTCCTTCCCTGACACCATGTGCTGCTCCCCCTTGCTGCCAGCCCACCTGCTGTGGGTCCAGCTGTGGCGGGTGTGGTTGCTGCTGCCAGCCTTGCTGCCGCCCAACCTGCTGTCAGACCACCTGCTGCAGGACCACCTGCTGCCAGCCCTGCTGCCGCCCCTGCTGCGTGAGCAGCTGCTGCCAGCCTTGCTGCCGCCCAACCTGCTGCGTGTCCAGCTGCTGCCAGCCTTGCTGCCGCCCCTGCTGTGTGTCCAGCTGCTGCCAGCCTTGCTGCCGCCCCTGCTGTGTGTCCAGCTGCTGCCAGCCCTGCTGCCGCCCAACCTGCTGTCAGACCACCTGCTGCAGGACCACCTGCTGCCAGCCTTGCTGCCGCCCTTGCTGCTGCTGATTGCCTCTCCAAAGAATCACCACCTTCACATCCCACCTGTTAACTGACTCACCATTTTGGAAAAACATTCACTACCTAGACTTTTCTGACAGCCAGCATGTTTGATCATAATTTCTGTTCTTTATTTGCCTGATGAAAACTCTGAAGCAGCTTGATGGAGTGCAGAGGGCTTCTCCTGGTCCTCTTCCTCCAGTGTGTGTGGGTCATGGGCCAGCTCTGCGAGTCTTTGATACACTGTTATGGTCTCTGCTTTGACTCTGCATCAGGATCTTCAGCCTCTCCCTCCATGTACCTTAGAAAAATGAATTCTTGTAACTGTTCTTAGGTTTTCTCCAACTATTGAAAATCTTCACAGTCATGTTTTCTGTATCAGTGTACTCATGGTTCTTGTAATCCTGCTTTCTTCTTTTCATGGACACTTTGAGTTGGCTCCCTCGATGCAGGGAGTCTTACCTATATTTCTTAATAAATTCTGTACTGTTGTGCATCCCATATTGCATTTTGTTTTACTGTCCAGCACTCCTGATGTAAAGATAATACACATGTTGCATATCACATGCATTGTCCACTCTGAGCCTCATCTAGTCCCCCACAAATAATTATCTCCATCCTTCACGTGGGCACCTTTCATGGAGTGATGTTACACAGCTGAGATGGGCAGACTCAGACTCAGAGCCCGGACTGTGTCTTACACCTCTGCTCACTGGCACTGAAGTTTCTACTTCAAGACAAATCAGGAAAGAAATCTTGGGCCTGAGCACGAGCAAGTTGTTCGTTTGAGTGTCTTTCACCACAGAAGCAATATCTCTTGTACATACATGTAGATAACACCTGCATACAAAGTTCTTCCCAAATTGGTGTCCCATACCTCAGCTACATATTAGGGCAGCAGGAGCTGCATTTTAGAGCCCTACTGGGTGCAGGATCCTTTCCTGTCTTTGGTGCTGTCTAGCTACTCATGCTCTCAAGGGCATCCAATGCTGGGGAGCATCCAGTGCATCCTCACGAGGAAGGACTCATCTAAAGAGACTCCTTTGCCCTCATGTAAATCCGACTGTTGTGTGGCCTCCTTCTCCTGAGCACCTACTGACCAGAGTAGAAGGGAGTAAGTCATTCCCAGCAGAACACTGTATGTTCCCCAGCTTTGAGGCAGTTTCCCATTCTGATGAAAACATTGAGAGAACGTAGTGAGAACAAAGTTGGGAAGTGAGAAACGATGCAGGGGGCATGTGTGACTAAATACCTGACCCCTCTCAGGAAACAGAGACTCTCCTGTGCTTCCTCAGTCAACTAGGAAGCATTTGGGAGAGAGAGAAACTTACGTTCCAGGGGCACAGGAAGAACATGAGAAAGAAGAACAGGAGAAGAGGCTGTGCATGCCTAGTGGCCGTGATGGACAGAAGGCTGGTGCTTTGGTCCGGAGCAAGCAATGCTGCCTGGACCTTCTTGGAGGTGAGGTTGGAGCAGTTTGGAGCCTGGGCCCCCTCCTCAGGAACAGTAGTGGGACCTCTGATGCACCTGCCAGGCTGGTGTCTGGGACACATGCTAAGTTCTGAGGCTGTGAATCTGGGAGGCTCTGAAGAGACTGCCAAGGCCAGACTTGCTGATTGCTGTTCCTTGGTGGCTGTTTGGGTGATTGACATGAGAAACGAACATGTTCTGGGTGACCCACTATTTGCTGGGTATACAGTAAGCACCTTATCTACATATCTTTAATTCTTGAAGAAATTTTCAAAGGAGGTATAAATGTTCCCATGTTAGAGATGAAGAAATTGAAACTGAGGAGGCAAAGCAATGTCGTGGTTTGGTTTCTCCCAGAAGTGACTCTGCAGAAGAGATGTAAGTGGATGGAGTTTATTTGCAAAGAGCAGGTCTCACTGGTTGGGGAGTGTGGATGTGAGACAGGAAAGGAGCACTGTGGGAGAAGCCAGTGTCACAGTGGCAATGGAATGTAGACCTAAGAGAAAATATCAGAAATGCTATAAAGCACACACTTTATGATTATACCAACTGAGTAATGGGAGAGCTGTCTCTCGTATACAAAGTCTCCAAAAGCATCAGTTGAGTGGTTTGTTGTTTTTTTTTCAGTATGACAAACACAAGCAGCATGACTTTAATTTACTGCAAAAAAAAAACATCCCAACTCTTAGGCACAGAGATCCAAACCTGGCTGATAAAAACTTGCACTAAGTTTCAAACGTACTAAGATCCAAAATATTTGGGTGGTGTGTTCAAAACCTCATCTACAATCTGTGATATTTCTCCACTCAAATCCAATACTGGGTTCTTCAGTGTGGTGGAAACCCATGGCTTCTAGAAGAAGAGGAATGAGGATGAAGAGAAGGTGGTAGAGGAGGAGGAGAAAAGAAGAAGAGGAGAAGGAAGAAGGAGAAAGGGGAGGAGGGGGAGGGGGAAGAGAGGGAGGGGAATGAGAAGAAAGAGAAGGAGAAGGAGAAAGGAGAGGAGAAAGAAGAAGAAGGGGAGGGAAACAGGGAGAGAGAGAAGAAAAAGAGAAGAAGAAAACAACACCGTAAATGGCATTGTGGGTGGTCTCTTTCACCCGTCCACGTATAGTGTGGAATATTAAACAGGAACAGGTAAAACACATACCCTCGGCCATATTTCGTGTAACCCTAAACGTTCAGTCTCTTTTTTCTCTTGACCACATCATTATCAAAGGAATTAAGTATGGGCAGAGCCCTGTGGATTGAGCTAACAGCATCATGAAATTTTTACCTTTGGGACATTCCACTATCCCTACAAAACACCACCCGAGTTCTATGAGATGAAGCTGAAGCATGAGTCAAACCCAAACATATCTGGTAGTCCCTGAAGAAGTTGTCTAGTCAGCTCATAGCAGGGGAAGAAGAGAAGTTGAGGTGATAATATTTATTCATTGTGTTTAGATATCAGTCTCCCGCAGTGTTCCTTGACCTTGCCACTGTTGACATGTGGGGCCAGGTAATTCTTTGCTGAAGGTGCCTGTTGCAACCATCGAGGAATGTTTAGCAGCATCCTGACCTCTCTCTACCCACTAGATGCCAGTAGCGCCCCCTTCTGGCTGTGTCATACAGAACTAAGGTGGGTGGGGAAAGTAAATAAAGGTACAAAACCCAAGAACAGAATCCATACCACAGAGGACTTATGTAAATATATAGAATTGGATAATAATAAACGTGACAGAAAAACTCATGTGATGCAACAAAAGCAGTGTTTTAAGGAAATTTATATACTTAAATCTTTATGTAAGAAGAGAACCTCAAAATTAATGAGTTCAATGCCTCATCTTAAGAAATGGGGAGAAAAGCAGTAGTACTGCCTCCAGACTACACAGAAGAAAACAAACACTGAAAAGAAAAACAGTAGAAATTAATAAAACAGCAATAAAGGAAAAAGAGTGACTCCAACAAAGCCAAAAGGTTGGCCTTTTGAAAAGTGAACAAAATAGATAAAACTCTTGGAAAATTCATCTGCTAAAATGAAACAAGACACAATTTAATAATATCATGAAAGAAAATTGGGGCATAAGATATGGATAAAATAGATTTTTTAATTATTTTAATTATCTGTGGCTTTATTACAAGCTGTGACTAAAAAACAACAGCTCTTTACTGTTTCTGACAAGGTCGGGGGCTCACTGAGCTCAGTGCTTTTGTCCCAAAGGTGATGACGGGAAAGAACATTCACAGCCCAGACGGAGGCACAGGATTCGTCTCTGGAACCCAACTCTCTCAAACCAGTAACTGTGAACAACTCGACAGAAAATGGGGTAGAAGATGTGGCTAGGAATTTTATGTTAGAAGAAACACATGCAGCCAGTAAAAGTTAAAAAAAAATACTCAAAATCATAACCAACGGAGAAAAATACAAATCAAACTTCAACAAGATTCCAACTTATACCCCTATATTGCAAAACAACTTAAAAGGTCGATAATATCAAGAATTTTGGGAGCATGTGAATCCACCGAATCTCCTGTATGTTTGAGGGGGTGGAGGGTGGTATAGATTTGTGTGGCCACTTTGGGGAACAAATTGGCATTTTCTCCTAAATGATAGACCAGTCAATCAAACATGCTAATCATCTCACGCCCCCAGCTTTACTGACAGCCACTCTGTTCATTGTCTTTTTAAATCGTGAGGCCCCTCACGATCGTGAGGCCCCTCCCCTCAGTGGAGCCGAGCTTGCTTCACTCTGATTTGTTTCTTACTTATTTCCTGAATGTCAGTGCACAGCTCCTGGCCGGCCTTCTCCATCCTGACATAAAGTCATGGCCTCAGCCTTGGATAAGTGGTCATCCTTTCCCCATCTAAGAGTCTCTCAAAACACACCCTGGCTGGTGCGGCTCAGTGAATTGACTGCCAACCTGTGAACCAAAGGATCGCCTGTTCAATTCCCAGTCAAGGCACATGCCTGGTTGTGGGCCGGGTCCCCAGTGGGGGGTGTGGGAGAGGCAACCACACACTGATGTTTCTCTTCCTTGCTTACTCCTTCCCTTCCCTTCTCTCTAAAAATAAATAAAATCTTTTTTTTTTAAGAATCTTTAAAAACATTCTTAGGATTGTTCTCTTAAGTCTCTGCAACCATCTTAAAATTTGTGATAACCAGTCAGGGCAATGCTTTCTCGATGCACCACCCTATACAGAGCAGGGAGATAACTGCCATGTTCCAAGGGAAAGGAATGTGGTTTCCTGGCAAAGGCACTGAAATAGAGGGCGGAGCTGATAAGGGGAGGGGAGGGTTCCAAAATGCCATTCTGATTGTACAACTTTAGATGCTTCCGATGGGGGGCCTAGAATGGGTACAACCTGAAATGTGGAGAAAGTGAAAGAGCTTCCCAAGGATGGAATGGACCGCCCTGAGTGCATAAACTTCTGATTACTGAGCATTCAAGCGTTAGAACTGACAACCACCTGGCAGGAAGTTTATCAGGATTCCTGCCATGCCTGAGATTCTTTAAGGTCTCTGAACGCTCTGCCTTACCCCATCGTTATTTAATTGA